GTGCGTGCGTGCGTGCGTGCGTGCGTGCGTGCGTGCGTGCGTGCGTGTGTCCAGATTACAAGATGTAGACATCTACTTCAAACTACTCACTTTTGTTTACCCGCTACCATTCTCAATCAATTCACTACACACTTGAACATTTATTCGTTTTTTATATTTTAAACATTTTAATACTGAATGTTATGAATACTTCTTTAATCTTTTGGCAAATGTGATGCTTGATCAGGATGGAATTCAAGTATTTGTAATAACTGCTTCACATGATAACATTTTTGTACTTTATGTTTTGGATAAAAACAGTTGGAGTTTTAAAGTGTTCATTTATAAACATTTCTAATAAAAGCTTAGTATTATTCTTTTATGTTGATGAAGCTTAAATTTTAAAATGTTTCGCTACAGTAGTACGCACCTTGTTTCTCTATTAGAGTTTTCATTTTGGCTTTTTGAGCATATTGTTCACATAACTTATCCCAATATTTTTTCTTTCACAGATCATTACATGAATAATGATTTTTCATTCTAAAACACGTCTGGCTGTGAGGAGAACATGGAGGGCATTTATGATGAGCTTCCATTCATCTGCAGTTAGTGCATCTCCCAGTTCTGGTTCTTTTGATAAATCCAAAGAAGTCTCCTCTGTTTCTACTGAACCCCCCCCACACACACCTGTCATGCTTAAAGAGGTGCTGCATTACTTGGACATCCATCCAGCTCAGGTATGTTTACGCTCTAATTATCTGTGTAAGTCTTTTGATTTCCATGACTTTATTTATCTTTACTTGTTTAAAAGTTAATTTGAAGGTGAACCGGGAGCCAGTGCAGGGAGGCCAAAACTGGTGTAATGTGCTCGCTATGGCCTGTACCTGTTAAAAATTGGGCTGAAGCATTTTGGATCAGTTGTAGTTGTGCAATGGAGGTCTGAATGATTCTGACAGAAGTGCACTGCAGTAATCAATCCTGGATGATTTGAACACATGTACAGTGCCTTGCAAAAGTATTCGTCCCCTTGAACTTTTCAACCTTTTGCCACATTTTTATTTTTTGTAAAGAATCAACAACAAGTGGGACACAATCGTGATGTGGAATTAAATTTATTGGATGTGTCAAACTTTTTTAACAAATAAAAACTGAAAAGTGGGGCGTACAGTATTATTGGGCCCCCTTGCGTTAATACTTTGTAGCTCCGTCTCTTGCTGCAGTTCCAGCTGCAGTTCCAGCTGCAAGTCTCTTGGGGTTTGTCTCTGTCAGTTTTGAACATGGAGACACTGAAGTTCTGCCCATTCTTCCTGCAGAACAGCTGGAGCTCAGTGAGGTTGGATGGAGAGCGTTTGTGAACAGCAGTCTTCAGCTCTTTCCACAGATTCTGGATTGGATTCAGGTCTGGACTTTGGCTTGGCCATTCCAACACCTGGATACGTTTATTTGTGAACCATTCCATTGTAGATGTGTCTTTATGTTTTGGATCATTGTCTTGTTGGAAGATAAATCTCCGTCCCAGTCTCAGGTCTCTTGCAGACTCAAACAGGTTTTCTTCCAGAATGGTCCTGTATTTGGCTCCATCCATCTTCTCATCAATTCTGACCATCTTCCCTGTCCCTGCTGATGAAAAAACAGGCCCAAACCATGATGCTGCCACCACCATGTTTGACAGTGGGGATGGTGTGTTCAGGGTGATGAGCTGTGTTGCTTTTACTCCAAACATATGGTTTTGCATTGTGTCCAAACAGTTGGATTCTGGTTTCATGTGCCCAGAGCACCTTCTTCCACATGTTTGGTGTCTCCCAGGTGACAAACTTTAAACAACACTTTTTATGGAGATCTTTGAGAAATGGCTTTCTTCTAGCCACTCTTCCATAAAGGCCAGATTTGTGCAGTGTACGACTGATTGTTGTCCTATGGACAGACTCTCCCACCTCAGCTGTAGATCTCTGCAGTTCATCCAGAGTGATCATGGGCCTCTTGGCTGCATCTCTGATCAGTCTTCTCCTTGTTCCAGATGAAAGTTCAGAGGGACTTGAGTCTTGGTAGATTTGCAGTGGTCTCATACTCCTTCCATTTCAATATGATTGCTTGCACAGTGCTCCTTGGGGTGTTTAAAGCTTGGAAAATCTTTTTGTATCTAAATCCAGCTTTAAACTTCTCCACAACAGTATCTCGGACCTGCCTGGTGTGTTCCTTGGTCTTCATGATGCTCTCTGCGCTTTGAACAGAACCCTGAGACTATCACAGAGCAGGTGCATTTATACGGAGACGTGATTACACACAGGTGGATTCTATTGATCATCATCAGTCATTTGGGACAACATTGGATCATTCATAGATCCTCACTGAACTTCTGGACTGAGTTTGCTGCTCTGAAAGTAAAGGGGCCAATAATACTGCACGCCCCACTTTTCAGTTTTTTATTTGTTAAAAAAGTTTGACACATCCAATAAATTTCATTCCACTTCATGATTGTGTCCCACTTGTTGTTGATTCTTCACAAAAAAATGAAATTTTATATCTTTGTTTGAAGCCTGAAATGGTAAGGGAGTTTTTCTTTCCACTGTCTCCACTGTGCTTGTTCAGGATGGGAGACTGCAACGAAGCCAAGATTCAACTTGTCTGCTGGTTCCTTAGATAGAGAACTACTAATTGGCTTTTATATGAATGTTTCTGCAAAGTGCCCTGAGACAACTTTGTTGTGATTTGGCGCTTTATAAATAAACTGAATTGAATTGAATTGAAATGTGGCAAAATGTTGAAAAGTTCAAGGGAGCCAAATACTTTCGCAAGGCACTGTATTACTGTCTCAAGGTTATTTTTGGACAGTATGGGATCAGTTTAAAAAGTCGCCTCAGCTAAAAAACATAACAAAAAGGATTTAATGATCATGTTTACGTGACTGTTTAGTTTCATTGAAGGGTCCATTATCACTCCCAGAGACTCTTTGTTTCGCTAATCTGGCTAGAGAGGAGAGGTCGATACCGTGGTTCTTCACTGTGCCATGTTCAAGTCTAACATGGATAGTCAGCAGCACATATCAACAATCAAGTGGCATTACAGTGATTTTTTTTTTTCACAGTAATTTCACAGTGATTGTTCTGGTTAGATATTCATGAGTCTAACAGCCTCAGGGTAGAAGCTGTTCCTCAGTCTAGTGGTTCTACACTTAATGCTCCTTAACCTCCTTCCTGAGGGGAGCGGGGCAAAAAGTGTGTGTGCTGGGTGAGTGTGGTCCTTCATGATGCAGGTGGCCCTCTTCCTGCATCTGGAGGTGTAGATGTCTGTGATGGTGGGGAGACTGACTCCAACATCTTCTGTGCAGCCTTCACCACTCTCTGCAAAGCTTTTCTTTCTGCAGCTGTGCAGCCTCCATGCCACACGTTGATGCTGGAGCACAGGATGCTCTCCACTGCACACCTGTAGAAGGAGGTGAGGACTGAGCTTCCCAGACCAGCTCGTCTCAGCCGTCTGAGGAAGTAGAGTCTCTGATGAGCTTTCTTGATCAGGCTGGTGGTGTTGTTGCTCCAGCTGAGGTTGTCATTCATGTGTACACCCAAGTACTTGTAGCTGGAGACCATTTCCACCTCAGATCCTCTTATGTTCAGGGGGGTGTAGGTGTGTCTGTTCCTTCTGAAGTCCACAACCATCTCTTTTGTCTTCTTCACATACACAGCACACAGCCCTGAGGGGAGCTAGTGCTGAGGGTTATGGTGGAGGAGGAGAAATTGTGGATCCTCACAGACTGAGGTCTGTTTGTTAAGAAGTCCAGGACCCAGTTGCAAATGGAGGGGCTTAGTCCTAGTGTGAGTAGTTTGTCCATCAGGTTTGGGGGATCATGGTGTTGAAGGAGTCCTTCTGCTCCAGGTGGTTGAGCACAGTGTGGACCACAGAGGAGATGGCATTTTCTGTTGATCGGTTCTCATGGTATGCATACTGGTGAGGGTCCTCGTTGATGTCGATGGTTGTTTTGATGTGAGTCATGACCAGTTTTTTTGAAGCATTTAGTGACTATCAGGGTGAGGGCCACTGGTTGATAGTCATTTAGACCAGTCACTGTAGAGCTTTTTGGGACTGGGATGATGGTGGTGGTCTTCAGGCAGGTGGGAACTGTCTCCATGGTAAAAGAGGTGTTAAAGATGTCTACCAGCACCTCTCAGAGCTGATCGGCACATTCTTTCAACATCTTCCCGGGATGTTGTCTGGGCCGGTTGCCTTGTACGGATTAATCCTCCTGAAAGTGCTCCTTACTTCTGCTGAGGTCACGCTGAGACACTCTTCATCTGGGGGTGAGGTGAGTCTGGTGCTGCGTGGTCTGTTCAGGTCTTCAAAGCGTGCATAGAACTTGTTGAGGGCATCAGGCAGAGATGAGTCCCTAGGGCAGGAGTATTTAATTAAAGCTCACTGAGGTCCAGTTACTAAAATTTCTCCTTGTAAAAGATCCAAACGAAAGTCCAACATTTGACTTTTATGGTCTTGTCTACTCGTATTTACATTTTCACAGTTAACAAACTGCACTTTATAGTAAACAACTAGCTTGTTTACCATTTTTAAAAGTAGTCCCAGACAAATAAATTTAGGGTATGTATTTTAATTAAAACAGAAAGGTTTATACTTAAAGTAAAATAGTTAAAGTCTTTAGAAAACAGAAAACAATTTAAAAAGTGGCTTTTTTACTATGAGAGATGTGGTCATGGGATTGTCCTGTCAATAATTTAAATCTTGGAGTCAGAGGAAGCTGAGCATCATCAGTAACATCTGTAGACTCATTGATGACTCTGAACAGCTGCATCCAGCTGTGCCAGCACATCATCTGCTAATAATTGTGATTTTTCTGCTTGATGTTGAAGCTGACATCAGAATTAGTTTTTTTTTTTTTTTCACACTTCTTGTCTTTGTTTTCCATCAAAAGTCTCAGCAACATCATAATCACTTCTTCAGGACTGTCCCGTCACTAAATGTTTTATTTTTATTTTTTATGTTGCTCCAAAATCCATGAAATCTTGAGTGAACATTTGTTTGCACGTTGCTTACAAGTGTTGGTGATGTAGGTTGGATCTGTCATACGGGGCCTTCAGTTCGGTTATTTTACTGCTCTCTGCTCGACTTCAGCAGAGCAGGTTGCAACTTTTAATTAATTCGACCGTTTCAAAGCATTTGAGGCAAACGGGTTTTGAACTTCCTCCTGGAAGAATGAACCTAAATTTCTCTGTCCATGCATTTGTGAGAGCTCCCTGCACCGTGCAGGAAACTAAAGATCTGATTTTCTCATTAACTGAGTGATGCTGTAACACCTGAAGTGAACCTCCAGAACACCTCCTGCAGCTCTGCCTGGCTCTGTTCCTAAGCTGTTTATCTCTGGAAAACTGCTCCATGAAAATGATCTGTTTTTGTTCATTTATCAGACTGGGCACGGGGACCTGGACCCAGGTCCGCCTGTTAGTGGCCTATGCCTAGAGCATTGTGCTCCTCTGCCATTATAATTTGTTATACACTTACACAGAACTGTTTTTATCATTTAAATCAGTGGTCCCCCCGGTGGTGGGGGACCACTGATTTAAGGAACCTCTCCAAGTTGAGACCTTCTGTGTCACAGACTGAGCTAGAGATGGTTATTCATGTGTTATTTCCTCCTGCTTAGACTGTTGTAAGAATCTTTTTATTCGTTTTAATAAAACCTCCAGGCCCGCCTTCAGTCTGTACAGAGTGCTGCAGCAAGGCTGCTCACTAAAAC